ATGTCTCAAATGTTCATACCATGTCGTGGTGAAACAAGTAATCAACGGAAATCAAATGTTCATACCATGTCGTGGTGAAAGAAATGTAAACGGCGGAGGTGTTGAAGGAATTGAAATCGGCGGTGGTGGAGCTGAATCCAGCTGCAGTTGAGTTGTTCTCATGGCGGTTTCGTTGTAAAACGCGAAAAACTCGTATCTTAAACTACAGCTCGGCACAAGAAGTCTTCCCCCGATACTGTTAGTAGGTAATTGCTTGATGATCTGTTGCAGACAACGCAAACAGTCCTGTCTCGTTAGATCAGGAGTGCACTGAACCATTACGTACAAAGGCTGCAACGTAGTAAAATTGGCTTTTCTCGCATCAACTTTTCTCGAACTCTTCGATGCCTCTGTGGCTGCTTGGTCCAGCGTGGACAAGACCAATTCATTGAACCGGTCTTGTTCGTTAGACGAAATATTATTGGAGTTAGCAACGATCATAACTCCATTTGTTCCATTTTGGAGTGAAGAGTCCAAGAAAAAGTTCTGGTCATCGTATCGAAGCATGCATTCCTCATACNCCATCATGCCCTGNTTTTCCTCTGGACATCGATTCAGAGTGTCGTTGGCAGCAAAGACTACGCAGTCACGGCATACATCTGGCAACATATCTCCCCGGCATAGGAATAACCCGTATGCCACGTCAGGGCTCTGACCTGCAACTGTGCTATAGAATCCGATGGAGAAAAAGGGACCGTTGGAAGAAAGAGAAGACAAAAGACCGTTGGACCGATGGTGGGGTATTTGCTGTTTTTGGAATAAGTTGTTGTGTTCGGACAAACATGGTATACGTAAGTAGGGTTTCGTTGTTGTGCAGAAAATCTGAAGCTTGCAAGGAAGAAGGCAAGAAAGAATAGAGAACCAAAAGAAGCATAACCAGACATATTTCAATTATTCTCTTCTCCTCTGTATTTTTTTTTAATGTCTTGATAAATGCTAATTAATACTTTTCTCTGTAAAAGGATGCAATTTCTTGCAAATCAACGTCAAGGCCAACTTCTTCTTTGAAAGTACCGTCAACTTGATCTACTATTACAATGAAGAACATTCCAACCACAAAAGAAGGTATACATACTTTTCTCTGTAACCCCACTGATCGAACACCTTTTCTATAATTATTAAGGACAAATCGGGGATTTTCTATAATACCTCTAAAAAGATTTGATGGTTGTCCAACCCTAAGAGTATACATCACAAATAAATAAACCTGATAGTCTTCTTCTAAACGGAGTAGTCACAGTGATTAGCGAAGGTCCCATATACACATTGCTCTGCAGAGTGTGTGTGTGGCTGGCCATGAGAACATTTCTCTCAATTTTGTTTTTTGTCAAAACGATTACAGTGTTTTCACCGTACTTTCGTTTTTTTTTTTGATAAAAAGTTTCCACGAACTTGTCCTATACTAACTAGAGTTGAACTTGACTTATATATTAGACTATTTTGTTTAAAATTTTGATGTGAGACTTGGATTAATATCCCAACACAGTCTTTGAGAATACCAAGTTACGAACACTCGTTTATGCATAATGGATCTTCATTATTCATCAAAACATATTTTGAA